CTACTCTACTCTTTAAAATTTACTGCTCTATTACACTTTAAGTCTCGCTTATCTTAAATGACCTAGAAGTTCGCCGGAAGATTTAAATTTTCAAGGATTTTTCAAGCTTCATAAACTGCATTTCTCCTATTAGAGCAATAAATATTGTATAAATTGTTGAAAAAGTTCCATTAAGATATCAAAACTTTAGCGTAATGTCGGACGAAGTTAAACTACGAAGCTAAACTGCCACGACTTCAAAGGGAGATTGTTAAGCATCTACTAAGTAAAGTTTCGGTTTGCAGCAAGTTTTCCATAGAACTAATATTTAATTAAATTTGTAGCTTGCATGGCACAATAGGCAATATTTACACTTCTTAACTAGCACACGACTTCTGTCATTTAAATCTACTTCGAATGTTTTCAAGTTTTCGATTCTGCATTTCAATGGTACCTAATTTAGTTTCTATTTAGAATAATAAAACAAGGATAATTTGATTTGGTTATGTTACTTTGTAATGATATTTTATTATAATAATATTATTTTTTATAGTAAAATAAAACTGATTTAAATATTTAAATACACTGAGGCTTAAAAAGTTCATATACTATAAAGTTTAATATATTTTGTTCTAGTTGACCCACTTTGGTCATTTTAAACAATTTTTAGTCAAATTATTTCACTTTTTAGCCTCTTTTTAAAGTAAAAAATAAATTTTCCATGTGTCTATTATACGAGGGAAATGAAAGTAAAGATTAAAAGCCATTTCATCAGCCACAGTTAGCCTGGGCCAAGATGTCAAGAAAAAAAATATATAAACTTTGAGTACTTTGATTGATGATGAGTATTTTGAGTACTTTGATGAATACTGATTAGAAATAATATTTGCAACAAAATAATTATTTAAAAATTTAACCCGCTGTAGCTACGAAACAAAGCAGAATCGATCATATATGTGTTGATATAAAAAATAAATCTTATTTTTATATGAGGAATATCCACTAGATGAGGAATCTCCACTAGAGATGGCAAATGTTCTTTGAAACACCTTGTTTGTGATAAGTAGAATAAATTTCTATGATAATGGAAGCAAATATCTAAATAAGGGTGCCTGCAACGACGTCCCGTAATCCTGCTGTTAAAACATACCAATTGGTTTTTATATACAAAAACCAGCTGTTATTTTTTAACCGCAGGATTACGGGACGTCGTTGCAGCCACCCTAAATCTTACTTTATATGAGGAATCTCTCCAAGAGATATGGTACATGTTTTTTGAAACACCCCGTACTGTGATAAGTAGAATAAATTTCAATACTAATGAAAGCAAATATCAAAATAAAAGTAAACTCTTTCTGAAACTCCACTGAACATTATTGAAACTGAACGCTGCATATTTATCAACACTTGCGCTAAATAATGATATCGTTTCTAAAATGCGCCGTTATAATAACTTATGACATGTTTTAATTAAATTTCTATTGTTCAACTTTTAATAAACAACTTTGTTGCACGCAACTCGTATATATTATTTAATGTGCGCGGCGCGAATAAATTCATTATTCTTTAGAGCCACCAATGAAAACTACATCAGCGCGAACAGTAAAGTTTTCCATATTTCAAAACTTGAATGTGGTACGGTCGGCATACATATAGAGGCTTTATAACACATTGGGGAGGAAACTTGATAAATTCAAGGAATTTACCAAGTTAAATTAACTGCCGCCGAATAACGTTTTAAAGTTCCAGTTCAAATTGGACATTTATCTACATAAATTACAATCACGATCGCATCACATTCGCAAATTTATAACTCGCCAGAGTTCTATCGGTATTTTTATGTACGGCGATGAAATCGGATGAAAGAAGCGTATGCATTTGTCCGTCTATTCAGCTCTATGGGAATTTAAGGGATTTCGTTTATCGAACTTTTACTATACCCGTACAATACGAAGAATGAGCAGGAATTTGGGCTTAGATTTTATTGATTTTTTTATACAGGGTGGTCCGAACTGTATTCAAACTTCGGCAGCATATTCTGCTGATAAAAATAATTAAAAAAGTTCGTATAAATGTATGTCCTAAAATACTTAGTTTCGGAGGTACAGGGTGTAGAAGATTCATTTTTATTTCGATTTTTTCCAAATAATTTCTGAAGTAACGTCAATATTTGGATGAAAATTGGAGTCTGGAAGTTTTTTGACATGAGAAAGTTGATTTTGGTGCCAATATAACTCCTATTTGTAAGGAGCGCCACCTACATGTGTTTTGACTGTTTTGAAGAGTAATAACATTTTGTCCGTACGCGTATAAAACCACTAAGTAAAAAATATACATTTACGACGTTTTTTTCTTAAAGAAGGTCTCTTGGTAAAAATCGCTACGAATAATGGTTCTCGAAATATTTGGAATCGAAATTATCAATACCTGTCATCATTGACATAAATTAAATATGTTTACTAAATAGTCATTAGACTGAAATCATAAATATGATATGTTTTTGTGCCAAAAGTCCAACAGAAGCTGTTTTATCGTCATTTTTTTGCAGAAAAATTTATGATTAATTTAAAAAATTAAAATTTCCCGAATTTATTATTTCAGTGAAATAACAACTATAGTTATTTTTCTGAAAAATAACTTAAGTTAATTTAAATAAACTGAGTAGATAGATCTACTCAACGTGTTTATTTTTTGTCAATAATGACATATATTGACTATTTCCATTCTAAATATCTTGAGAACTATTGCTCGTAGCGATTTTTACCAAGGGACATTGTGTAAGTAAAAAGTCACGAAAATGTATATTTTTTTCACTCAGTAGTTTTAAACAGATACGGACAAAAAGTTATTACTCTTTCAAAACAGTTAGAACACATTAGGTGGCGTCTCCTACTGATAGGAGTCCTATTGACATCAAAATCAAATTTCTCATGTCCAAAAACTCCCAGACACCAATTTTCATCCAAATATTGACCTTACTTCAGAAATTATTTGAAAAAAATCGAAATAAAAATTAAACTTCTACACCCTGTATTTCCGAAACTAAGCATCTTAGGACATACATTTATACGAACTTTTTTAGTTTGCCGAAGTTTCCGGAATACAGTTCGGACCACCCATGTATTTCCAAATAACCGAGCCGCCCTGAACCGCTTGAAGCACCAAAATGCGCGTCCATGACAATTCTTCACTGTTAAAAAATATTCATATTACTGGGATAAACAAGGTGGTTTTACTAGAAGAGAAAAACAAACAACATCTTGATTGTTTTTATTTTCTAGTAAAGCTAATAATTTCTTGCCGTGAAGAGTCGTCATTGCCAGGTATTTTGTTTCTTTGTAGAATGTAGAATGAGTGGGAGGATGGTTAATCAACGCGAACTTACATATATATTGTGTCCCCCTTTCTTGAGTTATAACTCATCATACAGTCCCAAGGCTTTGACAAACCTGGGACGGTTTTATAGAGGGTAGTTCTCCATTTCCAATATCAGTCGTACCAAAGTTTATGGCACGAATGGTTGTCGTCTCGGCACATTCAGTGATGAGGTGTGATCTGGTGTTTCCCCATTTTCCCTTCAATCTACTGAAGTGTTCATTTCTTGATCGTAAGTCCTCATAAACTTCTTCGAGTATCTCAGACCATTGCAGGATTGCCATTCCAGGTTACGGATGGAGTCTTCCAAGGTTTTCACTTCTGAAACAGAACGGTTCTTGTTCAGTCAGTGCAGTGTTCGATCTAGCTAGATCATTTGCTTCCTCATTACCTTCTTTCCCTTGATGAGCTGGCACCTACAGTGGGACGACTTTGTTTTCTTTGCCTAATTTGTTTAGCTATGCATTCTTTGACCAACTTCGAATTGATTGAAACTGATCGCTTTTATCGCTGCTTGTTGAAGATGGCTATTCCCTGTTTCCGATAACTCCTACCTAAAATAAGTTGTCCGCATCTTTCGACAGCTTATATTTCTGCGTAAATAGCCTGTAGGATGCTAGGGTAGGTGTCCATTGGTTCGAAGTATTTAGTTCTCGGCCCAAATCACTGGTCCTGCATTAGTTTTGATAGCATCAGTATACCAAGTTATGGTATGATCTTTTAACTAGCAAACGTTTCTCTTCTCCAATTCTTTTTATTGCTCAATACTACATTGAGGTGTTTCTCAAAGTTGTACATTTTTGATATGACATCCACTGGAGTAGGAGGATTGGTATTTCCTTTTTGAGGGGGTTCCAAGCGTCCATTTTTTTTGTTTTTTAAGAGGTTCAGAATCTCTTGTCAAAGAGTTCTTTTTTTGGATTAGGATTCCTTTTTTTAGTATTCTTGGTATCCATATCAGGATATATTAGCCTAGAAGGAAAGGAACGTACCGATACTGAACCGTCACTATGCGAACAAGATTTGCGAATGGGAAAGGGTAGTTACCCTAACAATGAACGAATAGTCGAGGAATTGAACATGACAAAGACTTTTTGGCGGGACTTTGATTGTGCGATTAGATAATCATTCAAACGCAGAATCAGAAAAATCTTCAAGGCTGCATGTCTACCGCCCATATACTTACTGTAGTATACAAGAGCAAGTCTGGAGTTACTTTCTTTTAAACAGGAAGAGGGTGGTGGAAGACGCCAAATGTCAACTCTGCCTTGAAAGTGTGGAAACTATGAAGCACGTAATGTGTATCTGGGAGCAGGATTATGTTTAAGCTGTTTAGCAAAACTATGCTGAACTTATCAGAAATTGACGATATAATATATCACACTCAGATATAGCCACCTATACTAAAAGTTTGGGCATTGATGCTTAATTTTAACAATTTTTGTGAATCTGAGCCATAAAAAGCCCTGGCGGTCGTAGTGGAGAGATCCCAGTCTAGGACCCACTCTTCTGTACCCCATAAATAATGAGATTAGAGTTTTTGCAAATATTTATACATTTCTACATTAAATTATTTTTCACGAACTTTTATAGACAATTTTCGAATTAATATATTTCTATGTATTTATATATTTCTATTGTTTCAGAATGGTGGAGCTAAAGATGGTCTCGATATGAACTTATCACCGGCATGGCAGAAAGGCTACACAGGCAAAGGAATTGTAGTGTCAATTTTAGATGACGGTATTCAAACTAATCATCCAGACCTCGCTCAAAATTACGTAAGTAATCGTTTTGATTTAGGCATTTTTATTATATTTAGTATCAACTACAGCACGCCCTTTGGGTTTCAAATTCTCTTTAATGTTTTATTATGACATACTTTATATTATTCGTAATAAAAAATGCTTTGTCACCTCGTAAGTGGTATCAGTGTAAACATAATGTAACATAATTAGTGTAAACATAATGTAACATATTTCAAGCTATGGGAGGGAGCTTTTGTGCAACTATTTCAGTATGTTCAGATTAGATAATTACCAAATTGACGAGGACGCCAAGGGTCCAGACTATAGCTGAAGTGGGTGTATACCACAAAATGATATATACCACAAGACCACGATGAATGAGAAGCTTAAAAAATCTTGGAAATAATCAACTTTCTCGACAGTTTTTTTCCCTCAAATTTGATTAGCCTGTAAAAAACCAAGGAACTCGTAATTCTAGAATCATGGGAGAGACCCATCAATACGAAACCGTAAATCCCTCCATGTCAGTAGTCGGCCTACCTCGACTTATTCCAGATCCGCTCTATTTACGAGTGACGTAGGACTCCGCTTCCTTATTTACCGCCACGGCCGTCTCATACATATTCGGGCGAAATTAGCAAATTAACCGGCCATTTTCGCCGCTTTCCGAAACGACTCAAGTTTATACTAACTGCTTAATCGCCGCGTCTTAAACCATATTAACCCTTTCCGTTCGGCCCGCTTGTTATATCATTCCTGGCAAAGGTCCGGTATAATAAGGTTTGCAAACTCGGCGCTCGCTGTGTCTCCAAATTTACCGAATTAGGTTAATAGATCGTCGTATTTTTAACTTTTTCAAACGTCACAAAAATATTAATTTTTGGCGACGTGATTTACAAATAAAAAAGTTATTTTATTTACAACCATATAAGTAATGTTGACATTTCCGACTTTTTGAAGGTTGGAAAATGTCAGTTTTCTAACTTTTACTTCCACTTCCCTCCCGTGGGCGGGAAGTAAATACAGATTTTTAAATTAGGACCAAAACATTTTTTAAAGATTTTATTTTGATAAAATGCTGCTTTAATTGCAACTTTTTTATGGAAAACTATTTTAAGCAAACTACAATTGGTGCTACAATGTCCTATTAGGTACATTTTGTATTAAAAGTATTAAAATAAAAAGTTTAAGACAACAAATAACTATTTATTCAAATTAATTGTTACATTCGAATTATTATATGCTTTGACACTTGATGGAGATACCACCTTGTTGGTTGCAGCTTCTCTAAGTTCTGGTGGAGTAGCAATATTAAAGTAGTCTTTATTATCAGAACTTTCCGACAACATTCTGGCTTTCTGTGTTATATAAATTCGAAAAAGCGAACGAGAAAAGCGAAAGAGAAATTCAAAACTGTCACTTGGTTGTTTGTATCATTTGTATCGCTGTTGAAGGTTTGTGCTATAACAACCGCGGTAACTATAGATATGGCAATGCCAAAACAGAAAACGACAAATTTTCGCATATTTATTTTTTTTCCCCAAAATAAAATACTGTCCCTATTTTTTAATTAATGATGTGATTGTAAATAAAATAGTATACACACCTCGGTGTAAAGTTTCATTTCTGTCTCGAGATTTAGTTCTCGATTTTTTATTGGCATACACGGTCTAGAGGGGGTGCGACGCAGTTCCTATAATAAAGAATTTAGAAATTCTGTTTTTTTCTGGGTCTTTTTGAATTTTCGACCATTTTGAAAATTGACCATAACTTTTTAATTTCGCACAATACTAGAATTCTGTAAAAATGTTCTCAAGACACTTTTTTAAGCACATCCATCCCAGTGGCGTAATAGTCAGTTCTATTCTCTACTTGCCCTTTTTGCCAAAAATATTTTTTAATAGAAGTCATAGTTGACTATGAACTTAAACAAAATGCTGGCGTTTAACCCTTCCCAACGACATCAAGTTATAGGTATGTATTTCTGAAAACGAGAGAAATATTAGGTGTTTTATCTTTATATCGAAGCCGGCTTTGATGTTATGTTGACATGTTTGCCTAATTATTTTTTATCACAATTAATTTTTAATATTGTATATTATTATTTATCTGCGTATTGAAAACTTGAAAAGGTAAATTAACAATCTATATATTAGTATTACTAATCACAATTAAAATGCCGGGTTTATACTTGATCTATTAAATGGAGAATTTAGAGAGAATTGGATTGGAAGGAAAGGGACCCCGTATCTTGACCTGCTAGGTCGTATGATTTAGCCCCTATGGACGTGAAGAAGTTGGGTGCAGTCAACCGTAAGGTTATCAGTGCTTGCCATATTGTAGATATTTCCTTACTAGGATTGTTAAAAATGTTGTTATTGTTTGCAATAAAAACGGTCTCTTTAAATTTGCGCTTTTTCCAATGAGGTTCCCTGTGGACAACCCGATCTTCTGACCGCTTCATATTGTGCTGTTATGACCAAACATGATCCGCAATACTTGACTTCATTGTTTCAGCTTTTTGTACATGTTTTTATTCTCGCTAAGTCGTACATTTAGAGGACGTTTAGTCTCTGCAATATACGACTCACCGCATTCACAAGGTACCTGGTAGATACACTCTTTCTCTTGTTTCAATGACTCCGATCTTGACTTTGTTAGGACACTCCTATGTCTAGATCCAGATTTGAAGACAGTTTTAATTTTAGACTTATTGGCCTTATCTTTTCTACCACTATTAAATCTACACTATTAATTGCCACCTTTTAAATGATTATGGCCAAACTATTTTTTTAACTTTAATTAAAAAAAATAACGTCAAATTCTTCATTTTCTAAACTACTTTAGCTATTTTAGTACTATTAATTAATAATCATTTTAAGCTTGTTTTTTTCTAATACTAGCGATAAAATAATTTTTGAAACCAACTTTCAACAACTTTGCCTGAAGAAAGGAATAAAAATCGAATTTATTAAAGACATTACGAATTAATAAAACAGCGTTTAACTTCCTGATTAAACAGAAAAGTCGAGCACTGATCTCGAGAGTTTTAAACGTCCCGCCGGAGGGTAGATATAGTTTCCAAGAAAAGGCGAGTGCTACTTCCGGACGTATTGTTTAATGAATGGATTTTTTCTCGCATTTTTTCGTTTTAATTTGAAGAGAATGGGTCGAATTCTTTAATATTCAGGCGTTTTTTTCGCAGAGGATCATTAGAGCGATTTTTTATTACCTTTGAAAAATATTAAAAAAAATAATATTTTTTTATTAACATTGAGGGTGCAATAAAATAAATAAAAAATGTTTAATTTGGAATGTAAGAGAACGTGGATAGAATAATTTAATTTAAATGACAGGGATGTTTTTTATGAATGTATTTAATTTCAGTATTGGAACAACTTCGAGATAGATTCGTTATGAATAATACAGGGTCCGGCAATAGTGCGTCGGGCATCTGTAGCTCCTGGAATAAAAAAAACTTGGGAATTTTGTTTGAGTGCTAACCTAAAGTATGTTCTAGGATGTACTTCAGGAAAATATTTTAACTTCTATCAGGTGGCTCAAAAAGTGTGAGTGGATCGGGATGATTTTTTTAATGGAACACCCTGTCTATTATTGCACTTTTCGCTTCTTTTCGGACCACTTTACATAATTCTAAGATATGAGTAAATATTTGTTGATAGTTTCAGAGATATTAATAAATAAATAAAAGATATATATTTTTTAGCCTTTTAAAAAAAATATTAGAAATACAAAAACTGTCCTGAAATCAAAACTACCTATATTAGGTAGGTATTTAGTTTTCATGGTCTGTACTTGCTTTGCTATAAATATGATAATCGTAAATCATACAGGATGTTCAAAATTCTACGCCAAACATTCTAAAATATGAAATAGTTTTTTTCGTTTTTTTTTAATGGAACGCCCTGTATATTATTTTTTAGATGAAGAATTAAAAAATGAGCATTTTTTTTATTTAGAGTATTTCAAAATTATTAACGGTTTTGCAGAGATTCGCGGTTTTATATTTCAGATGGCATTTTCCACAGCAAATTTTTATCAAAGCCACCCAATGATTTTTCTCTCGTATTTTACCGTTGAAAGTGCCATATGAAATAATACTGCGTGTATCTGCGAAACCATTAAAAATTTTGAAATACTTTAAATACAAAAAATGTTCACTTTTTAATTCTTCTTCTAATAAAAAAATAATATACAGGGCGTTCGATTTAAAAAAAAACAAAGAAAAATTATTTTATATTTTAGAGTTATATACGCCAAACTTATATATTATAAGTTTGACGTAGAATTTTGAACATCCTATATGATTTTAGATTGCGATATTTATAGCAAAGTAAGTTTAGACCAGCTAAAGTAAATACCTAATATAGTTTTGATTTCAGGATAGTTCTTGTATTTTTAATATTTTTTTTTAAGAAATGCTGAAAAATATATAATTTTTATTTATTTATTAATATCTCTGAAACTGTCGAAAAATATTTAATCATATCTTAGAATTATGTAAAGTGATCTGAAAGGAAGCTAAAAATGCAATAATATACAGGGTGTTCCCTTTAAAAAAAACCACCCTATCCACTAACACTTTTTTGAGCCACCCTATAGAAGTTAAAATATTTTTCTGAAATACATCCTCGTACATACTTTAAATTTACACTTAACAAAATTTTCAAGTTTTTTATTCTAGAAGCTACAGATGCCCGACGCACTATTGCCGGACCCTGTATATTAATAACATTAGATTGTAGTCATTTACCATTTGACATCACTATATTAAAATGATATGAAAACTTAACAATGGTCTTTCAGGGATATCTTACACGTTTTAATGGTAAGTGATAATGTGTCTATTTTTCTCTAAATTTGCATCGAATTTATTAAGAAATTACGAATCTAGTTTTATTTATAAAAATATGAATGAATAATGAGGAAATAACTAATTAAAATGAATGAATAATGAGGAAATAATTAATTTGAGGCTTTGGGCATTAAGCTGAACATCCATAAAACTAAAA